CGGCCCTGGGCTCGTAAGAGCTGGAGGAAGAGGGAGAGAACGATCTTGGGGTGAGAACTCTTGGTGGGGGAGGTGCTTCTCAGGGTGTGCGGCGGCAGGCGAACCTCCAAAGTCTGCTCAGAGTGTCCGAGGACTGAGCCCTCGGGAGGTCCAGGAAGGGCCTAGGCCCAAGCCGGCCACCCAGGCGCTGCACCCTTGAAGCCGACAGTGACAGGTGAGACGTTAGGACGTTTGGTCACTGCGCCCATCTCCACTCCCACACACTCCCATCCCCCTTATCATTAAGTGAAAGGCAAGTTTCTTCCTCCCTGTGGTAACTCCCATCAAGGCAGTTTCCTTGGAGCACCTCGAACTGCCACACTGTCTCTTGAATAAGTCATTTCCTTGGCTGAGTTTTGCACTTCCAGGATTAGGATGGATGGAGGAAGCTGTTCCCTGGCAGACTCTAAGACATACTGAGGAGTTCCTGGATTCTGCAAGAGTTCCTGGATTCTGCAAGAGTTCCTGAAGATATTGCCTTAAGGCCTGTGCTCACACCATTTTCTTCAGCCTCTTCTTACTAACCTGGGTCAACAGAGTTTCTCCCTGGTTTAGGCAACAGAGAGGAGGCAGGAGATACCTATGTAGTGATGGACTTTATGGGTACTTCCCAGAGAGCAGCTCCTCTTTAAGCCAAAGGCTGGTTTACCCCTGGCTCACAGGTTCAGGACCTTGGCTGCTGTGTGTGTGTGCAGCGCAGAGTTGAGACGGTTTCAGAACTAACTAAAACATTTGGCACCCCTGCTGGGATGCGACTGGTGCTCTCTTGGAACTTTTTGCTAGCTCAAGCACTCTTCTCCCAGCTTTGGCCTGATTTCTGCTCTAGGTTAGCACCTCTGTGCACTGGAACCACATGGCCAGGGTGGAGAGCCAGAGTGCCTGAATGCCTGGGATTTACAACCCCAGACAGGCAGTAGTAGCTAGTGTGAAAAGCAGGTAAACTTATGCTCGAGTCCTCTGTGCCATTAGGCCAAGGATCAGACTTTACCTGAAATTGCATTCTTGCTTAGCCACCTCTTCTTTCACCCTCTTCCCTGCCCCCTACACTGGTTTCTGCCAGGAGAGCATTCCCCTCCTCCCCAGTTTTGCAATAGGGCACATGCACTCCCTGGAGAGAGACAGAGACTGAGGTAGAGAAAAGTGAGAAAGCACCCCCAGGACAGATGGCCATGTTGCAATCCCTTCTTCATTCTCCTCTTTGGACTTTGAGCATGCATGCACACATGTTTAAGCCTTCTGGTCCAGGACTCAAACCACATAGTCAGCCATGTGGGATCCAGCCACATTAACCTCCATACCACCACAGGCTGGCCCAAAGTCTCTCTCTTATTCAGCCACCACAGCCATTCATCAATAGGCATGCTGGGAAACCTCTAGAATGGAAGGAGGGGCTATTTGTACATTTTGATTTAAATTAACCCTGAAATAAGTCTGTAAGGTTACACATTTTTACCTCATGTTCTAGGCAAGAATTTCCGGGCTAAACAGAGCTATTGATAGAAAAGGGCCAGAATGGCACAGCTGTCTGTTTCTGAAGTTCCCGGTGTAGTGTGTCTATACCTGTGTTGTAATAAGTCTAGAGAAAGCCAATTCTATGGCTAAATTTTCATTTTCAAAATACGTTTTATTGGTGTCTGCCAGCTGCACTCGGTCAGTCTCCATGTGCTGCTCTAGGCTCTGGGGCCACATTCGCAGTATTGCCGGGCAGGTGCATGTGACGGGTATTTGAAAAGGAAATACTAATCATTAAGGTGCTGAGGCATGTGGTGGGCCAGACAGTACAGAGCCCAGCTAGAGGCTGTTGGGCATCTGTCCTTCCAGCCCAGTTTCTGGGCATCTCCCTTTGGCAAGTACCAGCAGATGCCAACTTTCACTCAGTCTCTTTCTCTGAAGCGAATCATCCACAAGTCTAAATGACAGGGGGTCTTGGCCAGCTGGGAGTGGGGCTTGCTAATCTTTTGCTGAAACGGTTTGGAAAGGACAATGTCATTTGTTTGACATAAGAAAACCCCCGATCATGTCTTCCATGTGGCCCATTTATTTATTCTGATATCTAGGATTATAATAATCTTTATGAGATCGTGGTCAACAACGGCATCACTTGGCTGTTTTATTATAATGCTTTGCTCAGTGCTGTCGGAGAAGCAACCATGTCCTTAGCGAGAGCTGTGAACATTAATGGAATTTTATAATATTCTGGGTGTTGCAGCAGAACACAGCCTGTGGTTGTTTGTGCCCAGCACGATCAGGGCTTTTGGACCTACCTCTCCTTGGAACTCAACCCCTGATCTCTGTATTCAGAGACCCAGGACCATCTATGGGGTGTCCAAGGTCCACGCAGAGTGCATGGGAGAATATTATTATTACCTATATGGGTTGGATTTCTGGTACCTGAGATATCCTAGAATCATTTCAGCTGGCTCCCAGCCTGGAGGAGGAACAACTGACTACATAGTACAGATTTTCCACTATGCTACGAAGAATGGCAGATTTAAGTGCAACCTGAGAGCTGGCATGAGGCTCCCCATGATGTACATTGATGACTGCCTCAGGGCCACCCTGGAGCTCACAGAGGCCCTGGCCTAGGCCGTGTCCTACAGTGTCAACGCCATGAGCTTCATGCCCCAGCAGCTGGCCCAGGAGCTTCTCAAGCACGGTCCAGAATTCCAGATCACTTACAATGTCGATGCTGTCCGACAGGCCATAGGGGACAGCTCGCCAATAAACTTTGATGACAACAATGCTTGGAAGGACTGGGTGGGGCTGGAAACATGGTTTTGATCTTCCAGAGCTGGCGACTATGATGTTGTATTTCCATGGTTCTGACACCAGAATTGCCCAGGCAAACTGAAAGAATCCAAAGGAAGAAATCTTAGGTCCTGGACCCCCAACAGGGAGCTGTCAAGCCCTCAAGGTTATAGACTGTAAGGAAACGAGGTTATCTGGAGTCGAACTGATGGGACTAAACTTTGGCAGCTCACATTGAACTACTCGATTGGGAGTGGAGTTAGCTTTAAGCAGGTTTAAAATGTCAGTCTGGTGGTAGAACTTTCCACCCTGCTGTCTGCCTAGACTTGTCCTGACACACATACCATGAATGAAGACTTAAGTCAGAGTAGTTTCTATATATTTCCTTCATTAAGGTGAAAGGACCATTTCTGGGAAGGTGGAAGTTTGTGACATTTGTATTTAATTCAATTCAATTTAAATTTAAATAATACTGCAGACTCCATGATTCTCTTGACTAGAGAACAAAGATTACATTTTAAAGACTTTCAAAGATACTCTTCAAGTTTAAAAGCATTCTTTACAATCCCACCAAAACATAAAAAATGACTGGCATATTCTCATATTTACCGTATTCAAGAGATTTTAATATTGATTCAGAAATTTTATAGCTTATTTTTCTGTAAGAATATGTATTTGTAGGAAGTCAGGAATATCCAAAATGATGTACCTAGTAAAGGGGCCTCTTCAATTGCCCTCCTGAGATTGATTTAGCAGGAGATGGAACCTCAGGATGCCACTGATTCCCCCCCACCTCCCGTCCCCTTACAGGGCACATGCTAAAATCCCTCCTCCAACCCCCTCTCGGGATTTTAAGCACACGCACATGCACCCGGCATGATTTTCAAGCCTCCAGGTCTGGGGCTTAAACCACTGCCAAGTCCAGGATTGGAACCGTGAAGTCAGCAATGTGGAATCCAGCTGCCTTGACCTCCACATCACCTGCTGATCCTACCACTGGTTATTCTAAAGCAACTATGACCAATTCCAAACACTGTTTTCTAAAGAGTCATTTCTAGTTATACCCTTCTTAAAACATTCTCAGAAGAGCTATTCCAAGCCCTCTGGTGCAACTACTGTAAAGTTGTTTTATATGCAGGATAATATCTCCCAGCTACCTTGGCATCTGCTACGTGTGAAATCACTGGAAAGTGAAACTTCCTGATCCACAGCTTCATCATGGATATATTGTAAACAGTTGTCGAGGATGAAAAGGTGTTTATATTATGAGCTTAATGACAATAAAATGGTATGCATTTGGAAAAAAAACACATTTTACTGTGTATATTTAGGATATACAACATGATATTAAGAGATATGCTTGTTAAATCATTATTGTGTACTTTGACCATTTTATTATTTTTTTATATGTACCCTACACTCACGCATTAGTTATGTGCTAAGGAATGTTTATTTTATGAAGATAAGAAAAGCAGGGAAATTTTTTTGGTAATTTGCCATATGGCACATGCACTAACTGGGAGAGATAAAAAGAGAGAAAGGGAGAGAGAGCGAGCACAGGGGAGATGGCCATGCCGCAATCCCCTCTCCTCTATGCTTTCAGTAATTTGGGCATGCACACATATGCACCCAGTGTGTTCCTCAAGCTGCTGTGTCTGAGACTCAAACCTCAAAGTCAGACATGTGGGATCTGCCTGCCTTAACTGCCATGCCACCAGCTAGTCCATTGTGTCACTATTTTTTTTTTGTTTATATATATATGTATATATATACTTACTTTTAAGATAGCTATGCAAGTTATTCAGTATTGGGTTATGAGTGTTTGAATAATAGGTCTCTTGCTAGGGAGTTTAAAAATAAGATGAACTAAGCTAAGTTAGAATAAACCCCCTTTTACACGTCAGTGCCCTCCTACCTCTCTCCCTTCCATCAGAACTTCTTGCAGGGCAAAGATTTCTTCAGGCCATAGAAACTCCAAGGATCATTTGAAGGAAGAGTTACTTTGTTCAGGTATTTGCCTTTCAAGTTCTGGGTTATTGAAGGACAAAAACAGGGAGGTATTTGTGATTTGTGTGGGTTTAGAACCTGTTCTACTTGATCTTCTAGACTCCTGAAATATTCAGACAAGAAGCCATTTTAAAGCTGAGGTGTGTCCTGGCCTCTTCAAGGAAGCTATGCTCTAAACTCCATCTTCTAGACTCCGAAAATATTTAGACGAGGTAGGGCAACCTCTGTCCTCTCGCAGTCTCTGGCCATCTCTCTTTCTCTGTCTGTCTCGCTCTCTTTCTCTCTTTAAATTTTTAATTAAAAAAAATTGTTTTCAACCATTTCTCCTCACCTTGTGCCTTTTCTTCTCACTTGCTAATTTCAGAAGCCATTTTAAAGCTGAGGTGTGTCCTGGCCTGTTCTGAGTGAAACATTATTTATTTATTTTTACTATGCTTTGTTTTCCCAGTTTAATCATTTTACATTCTTTTGAGTTATTGATAGGTTCAGCAATTTGTTAAAATATTTTTCTTGGCTATTTCTTTAAATGGAAACAAACTTTTCTTTCTTCCTGACCCCTCTGTAATTGGAAAATATTTGGGAGTATTCTTATTTTGTGGCAGAAGGGTTATTTGCATAAGTTCAATAATGCTTGTTGCATTGAATCAAACTGCTAGCGTGCCATGTGTTTTTCATTTTATATGTGTAAAAACAATTTTTTTCCTCTTTTGGTAGCATTTTTCTAGTTTCCTTTTTCTTTTATTTTTTTTAAACCTTACTTTCCCACTGTAAGTTTCACTCTCCACACACTGAATGTCTAGATAGGCCTTTGTGCACAGTAGACAAGCATCTCAATACTTTTAGAGTCATTGAAATCCTCAACACTTATTGAAACTCCTGCTTTAAGGAAGAAATTTCTTTTTATAAATTTGAACTAGTAATCTCTTTCTGTGGATACCACATTGTGAAGCAGAGTGGAGGAGAGATTTCATCACAGAATGACCAGAAACCACCGCAGAGGCACAAGAAACATGAGAAACCAAGAAAATATCTCTCCCCTAAGGGAAAAGACCAATCTTTCATCATCCACAGACACTACAAAAATCAAATGGAAGAACTATTAGAGATGAAGACTGCCATTCAGGAAATCAAAACCTCCCTTGAAAGTATTAAAAGCAGATTAGTCCATGCAGAAAATCGAATCTTGGATGTTGAAGGCAAAATCTCTGATCTAGAAAAAAACAACAAAAAAACCCTGAAAAAATAACCCCCGAAAAATGAGAATACTATATGAGAAATACTAGACAGCATTAAGCACCCAAACATCTGGATGATCAATATCCCAGAAGGTGAGGAAATCAATAAAGGCATTAATAATCTATTCCATGAAATCTTGGGAGAAAACTTTCTGAATCTAGAGAGGCACTCAAATATCCAGACCAAGAAATACAAAGGATCCCTAATAGAATCAAACCAAGAAGATCTTCTCCAAGGCACATCATAGCCACCCTGGCCAAACCTACAGACAAAGAGAAGATACTAAAATTGGCAAGAGAGAAATATCAGGTTACTTACAAAGGTTATCCAATCAGGCTAACCTCAGACCTCTCATCAGGAACAATGTGAGCAAGGAAAGAATGGGAAAATATATTCAGAGTGTTAAGTGAAAAACAGTTTCAACCAAGAATACTATACCCAGCAAGATTATCTTTTAAATGGAAAGAAAGGATAAAAACATTCTCAGATAAACAAGACCCGAAAGAACTTGCCAATAGCAGACCCACTCTTTAAGAAGTTCTGAAAGGAGTGCTCTACCAGGAAAACTAAAGACACATAAAGAAATAAGAGAATAACAGGCAACCAAGAAAATGACCAATTTAATGCTAGGGACAAGAAATATCAATAATAACATTGAATGCTACCTTCCAGGATTTAAACGGAAAGATTGGATTACAGTAACACTGCATATGCAACAGAAGAGAGTTTGAACATAAGACTGAACTGGAGAAATAGAATTTTATGATTTTTTGAGTGAAACATTACTGTTTTTTTTTATGCTTTGTTTTCCCAGTTTAAGCATTTTACTTTCTTTTGAGTTGTTGATAGGTTCAGCAATTTGTTAAATTTTTTTTCTTGTTTATTTCTTTAAATGGAAACATAAACTTTTCTTCTTTCCTGACCCCTCAGTAACTGGAAAATATTTGGGAGTATTCTTATTTTGTGGCAGAAGGGTTATTTGCATAAGTTCAATAATGCTTATTGCATTGAATCAGAAATTGGAAATATTCATTATTAGACAGGGCTTTGACTGGAATGTCATATCTGAAGATTAATCAGAGAACTATGGAACTAAGGTGGATCTCAAGTAAGCCAAGAGCAGCTCTTAGAAAGATGGCTTGGCACCATAAATAGTTCTGCCTGGCAGAGAAGATTAGAAAATATATATGAAAGAATTTATAACATAAGATAACCTGGACTTTTCCAGCATTGAAATCAGTAGAGACTGCAGAGCAACTGCTCCAGAGGATTATCTTGAGAAAGACTTTGAAGGAGGAGAAAGAGGCTGATCTTTGCTAGCAGATGATATATCACACAGTACTTAATAGGCAGGGCTGAGTTGAGAAGGTTTATGTGTAACTTGTGTGCTGGGCATTTGGTTTTCAACAATTTGAGTAGTTGGCATGTAAATATTTTCTTGAAGATATTTAAAACCATACTGTCTCTGTTGTTGTAGAGTCACAAACAAAATTATACAAAATTATAAAAAAAAACTTTGAATATTCTCTTTAAAATTCAGCATTTTGAAATTTTGAAAGTTTTTTGTTAACTGTCAAGAACCATGGGGTATGAGCTAAAATTTTTTGAAATGTAAAGTAAATGTGGAAAAATGTAAAAATAAATTAATTATTAAAAAAAAATAGAACCTGTTCTACTTGCACATACTGTTTCAAGCAGATTCCTGTAACGGCTACACCTTGGATTACCTAGCATTCTTTTTCTTCTGTTTTTTTGTTTTCAGTTTTTGCTATAGAGCATGTGTGCCCATTGGAGAGACAAACAGAGAGGGAAAGTGAGAAAGCACTCCCCAGGGGGAATGGCCACACAACAATAGCTACTCTTCCTTTGTCCTCTTGGGATTTGGGGCATGCATATGTACCTGGCATGTTTCTCAAGCTACTGGGTCTGGGACTCGAACTGGTCATATGTGATCCAGCTGCCTTAACTACCACACCACTTGGCTGGTTCACACCTAGAACTTTTCGCAAATTGGTTGATTTTGTTTAAAATTATTATAATAATAAGTTGCATGCTCAAATGTTGGGGTGGGAGGCTCCCACCACCAACACATGTATTAGTCACGTTCACTGGACCAATGTGACCTTGGATCAATGCTTCATTTTGCCCAGATTGGTTACCTACCTTACCTGTAAAATAGGACAAGTAAATATAGTGCTAGGGTTGGGAGGATTCAATGGTACAATATTTACTAATAGAAAGTGTTTAGCACATGGTTAGACTTAATGAATGCTAGCTATAATGATCCCAATTGTTTTTACCCAGGAATATGAAGGGGATCGGAATGAGGCAGGTGAACGGCACGGACATGGCAAAGCAAGACTACCCAATGGGGACACATATGAAGGAAGCTATGAATTTGGTAAAAGACATGGCCAGGTCAGAACGGGAACTTGACCGGGTGACTTTTCTCTAGTTAATACTCTGAGCAAATATTAAATTCAGGAATATGAATGATCTAATCCATGTATTTCAGGGAACCTACAAATTTAAAAATGGTGCTCGATACATTGGAGAATATGTTAAAAATAAAAAGCATGGTCAAGGCACTTTCATATATCCGGATGGATCAAGATATGAAGGTAAAATGCTGTTATCACAAAACAAATTTTGGGGTCACAGAGGGTTTTGTTTTTATTTTTGTTTTTGTTTTCTCCTGATTGAATGTGTCTATGGATATGAGGAAGCTTAAAGTTTTTTATCTTAGTCATTTGACAAGCATACATTATGTTCCTATGTTCATAGGTTGATGCAGGAAGCAGAAGCCTTATTAATTAATTAACTAATTAATTAGTTCATCTATCATGGGTAATATATGACTGTCCTTGTGACCAGCAAGCTTGTGAGTCCATGTACTGAGAGCTGATGAAGGAGAAGGGGCTGGTGACTACAGACCTCAGAGATTTCTAGGGCCTGTGTCATCATAGGGTCTGAGGCATTCATCTTCCTGAATTGTCTTTGCTGTTTCCCATTTCTGACCAACCCTTCTTCTGATGGACACTTTATACCTAGTGGTTGCATCAATGGAAAGTTTTGGTCTGGGAGACATCCTATCTTATAGATAGGCTTTTCCACAGCTCCTCATATGCCGGTGTTATATTTCAGGAAGATTCTTGTTCCCCTACTTGTGAGAACCTCACTGCTGCTCCTATGCACCACTTTACTTGGTTTAATTACAATATTAATCTAATCCCAAGCCTGGAATGAGAGACAGGCAGGGGGTGGGTGGCACTTTCAGAAATTGTAGGCCAAATCTATGCTCTAGGGTTTTGTTTTTGTTTTTTGAGTTTTAAAAATTACCCCTGGGAAGAAGTTATCTAGTTTTCATCAGATTTCCAAAAGAGGTATAACCCCAACCCTGGTCTATGGTGACAATAAGTGTGACTTTGCATGGGAGACTTTCTATGCCTCAGCTTTCTCAACTGTAGTGTGAGGATAAAATGAATTAATGCATGTGGAACACTCAGAGCATTGCCTGTTCCATGGAGAGTGCTCAGTAAGAGTTGCCGGGGCCATGATATATCAACCACAGCAGTACCACTCCTTTTTAAAAAACTTTATTTTATTTTGGGGCCAGCAGGTGGCTTGGTGGATAAAGGCACTGGATTCCCACATGGCTGATCGTGGTTTAAGTCCTAGAGCTGGCAGCTTGATTTCTTGCTTTTCCTTTCTCGCTTTCTCACTGTCTCTGTCTGGTCAAATTAAAAAAATAATAATAACAAATGGTATTAAATGAATAAATACTTTAAAAATGAAAAAAATACTTATTTTGTTTATTCACATTCATTGTATATCAATACAATATACAAAATGAGATTTTCCATCCAGAATACATTGTATATTGGCTCAATCAAGGATATTATCGTATGTGTTACCATCAACAAATAATTTTCTATTTCTTCTTTCTTATATGTTTTGCTTTCTTTACTTCCTCCCTTGATTCCTTACCTCTCACCCTCTGCCAATCCACCCCCCGCCCCATCCCACACTATCTCTGGCATCTACAGTTGTTTTCCATGCCTTTTCTTTTTTCACATTTTATTGATTCACTAAAGATCTTAATTAGGTTAAAAAATTTCAATAGCAAGCACAGCTGATAATATATGAATTCAAGTGACTTCTTTAGGCTTAAACCCCAGTGAGTGAAGTGAGCATACTAGAAAGTAGCACCTTGCTGGGTTATATAGCTTACTGCAGTCACCAAATAGGTATTAATAGATATTTTTTAAATGCATGTTTTAATTTCAAGAAAAACATTTTTAGTTTTAATAGATCAAAATAAAAAAAAAAAACCTGTTAAGAGAAATTTGCTTTGAACTTAAAGCCAGGTAAAATGTTAAGATTCAGTTAGGATAGTAGGTAGATGAATCCATCAACAGTTCAAGGGAAGACAAAAATCCTTAAATACGGAAATCAAAGCATCAAAGAAAATCAGTAATGTTTTAGTCTAAAGTAAAAAAATTCTATTTCCCTAGTTCAGACTCATGTAATTAATATCTCTTCTATTGATTTTGCAGTGTTATTGTGGTCTGATCTTTCCATTTAAATGGAAATTAATGATATTTCTGAGCTTGTCCTTACCATTAAATTGGCCTTTATTTTGGTCATTTCTTGTTCTCTTATTTCTGCCTGTCTTTAGTTTTCCTGGTATAGCGCTCCCTTCAGCACTTCTTGAAGAGTTGGTCTGGTGTTGGTAAATTCTTTCAGGTTTTCTTTATCTGAAAATGTTTTGGGCTTTTCTTCCTATATGAAGGATAATCTTGCCAGATATAGTATTCTTGGTTGAAATTGTTTTTCACTTAACACTTTGAATATATTTTCCTATTCTTTCCTTGCTTGCATTGTTTCCAATGAGAGGTCTGATGTTAGCCTGATGGGATATTCTTTGAAAATAACTTGATGCTTCTCTCTTGCCAATTTTAGTGTCTTGTTCTACCTGTGGTTTTGTTCAATCTGGCTATGATGTGCCTTGGGGAAGATCTTCTTGGGTAGAATCTATGTGTAATTCTTGAGTCTGGATATTCGAGTGCCTCTCTAGGTTTGAAAGTTTTCTTCCAGGATTTCATGTAACAGATTATCAATGCCTTTACTAGTTTCTTCACCTTCTGGGATACCAATGATCCGTATGTTTGGACGTTTAATGGTATCTAGTATTGTATGCTACTCTCATTTTCCCCCCATCTTTTTGGTGAATTTTTCCTAGGTCAGAGGTTCTGTCTTCTACATCTGAGATATGATCTTCTGTGTGATCTAATCTGCTTCATATATTTTCAATTTTGATTTCTTGTATAACAGCCTTCATCTGTAACAGTTCTGTTTGATTCTTTTTTGTGATGTATATTTCCTCTTTCAGATCAAGGAAGAACTTTCGCACCTCCTGGAACTCATTGTCTCTTTTCTCTTGAATCTTCTGGAGTTTGTTGTCTCTCTTCTCTTGTATCTCTGTTAGCTTTGTCACTATGAATATTTGTTTCTTTCTTTTTCTTTTTCTTTTTTCTTTTTTAGAGAGATTT